TGAAGATAATCTAAAAATGCTTAAAATTAAAGTTTAAAGTTACAAATGCAAGTGGACTTCAAGTAAATATAAGTCCCTATGAAAGACCCATAGTTGGCAAATATTGTATTCAAATTACACATAAAAGATAAAACTAGAAAAATTCTAATTAATTACTCAGTCTCTAGCTTTATAGGCCTCCCTTTACCCTTAGCTTGATTCTCGCTTGTAAATATTAAACTATGGGAGTGAGATAAATGTCTCAGTAACCAAGTAATTTAATCAAGTATATTAAAATGTGGTAATCACAACAATTTAGCATTTAATATCACATAAAGCAAACCAACATTATTCATAATGCATCTTTATAATATGTTTTGCATGATCAAATGCAATCATCTTATACTACTACTTATATCATCTAACTGAATCTATAAACTATTATCTTACATAAGTCTAGCTCATGTAACTGGACTAGCCTCGCTCTCCAGTCATGAAGGGTCACCTAACTAAAGGCTTCCATACTCACTCTCGGACTATGGATTCCCCTCACTTGAATTACGGGGTTTTATAACTGCTTGACCCATACCATTCAATCTATGACTAATGATACTGAGCATCATGCCCAATCACACCCATAAGTTATTAGCAATACTAAGCACGTATAGTAATGAAGTATGCCAACCATTGTGAGCAAACTTAATAGAGGTTACACCACGTGGATTTTCTACCATAATCTCTTTACTATGTTAGGGTGAACTCCCATCTATTATGATCATGCAAGTTCAATCAACAAAAGTGAATATAAGCTCATGCATATCATAATAATTCATCACTATCATAATTTCTAAAACTTACATGCTTATCATAGTTTACACCATATTATAGTTTACAATGGCTCATTATATAATCAACTCAAAGCCAATCCAAGCCCACAATTCATATTTCAAATGTCAAATAACATCTATATAAATATAATCACCAAACACTTTATCACAATGAGTCATGCTTCATATTTAAGTAATAGTTCAAAATCAACATACTCATTTATAAGCTCATTTCAAGCCATCCATAATAATGATTAAAGTGTAAATGGAGACACAATGATATACTATACTTAAATTTTCAGTTATCTCAACTCTTGATTTATCAACCAAGAATACTCATGAATATCAAACGGAGCCTCTAATAAGCTCAATAGCACCAAAAATGATCAATTTATAATCAAATACATTAATAGTCATTGATGACTAATTATCTTTAATTAACTCTAATCAAAGCCTAAATCCAAAAATTTCATTGTGGTCATCTACCCACAACCAAATCTATTTTTAGGTTCCATTAATTTACTTAGACTCCTATTAGTCTAATCAACACCATTGATAATCATAATCTTCTTAACTCAACTAATTAGCTCAAAGGTTTACTTTAAACCCCACTTTTAAATTCTAAAAATATCAATAATATCATAACCCAAAGGTTAGACATTTAAATAAACACCTATTAATCTCATTTAAGTCAGAATTCTAGGTAAAACTACGACCCATTTTTGGACTCCCAAAGAATTACCCAAAAATAGTGATGCAAATGCATAAGAGAGGAAGAGAAGGGGTTATAGGCACTTACATAAATGATCAAAAGCTCTAAATAAACTCAACTAGAAGCCCATAACAAGCCCTAGCAGAGCTCTCCTCATTCACCTTCGAATTCCTACTTAGCTCTTTAATTTTTTTTAAGCTGAAATGTGAACTTAGAGGCTTAAAAATTGAGTTTTGACTGTGGCCAAAGACAAAAAATTAAGGTTCTAAATATGGTCCATCTAATTAGGCCCAATACCACCTAGGATCCAATTCTAAGACCTAATTAAGGTCTGATAAACCCATTAGCCATCCGTACATTATCTTTCAATCTGAGTTAACTCTCAATTGTCTAATTTATCCTTAATTACCCAATTAACTTTAAGTTAAATCTTTCAGGATGTTACAAATTACATATAAATCCAATACGCATAAAGCGTGCCATTGTCGATGCCCCTATAATTACATGAAAATGACAACTGATTACATGTAAATCAATATGAGAAAAAATTCACAAGCATACTTGAGAAATAATTTACATGTAATCTCTAGTAGATTACATGAAAATCAAATACATAAAGAGCATGCCGTTGTCAGTGCCCTAGGATTACATGAAAATAAATATAGATTACATGTAAATCAATATGTGAAAAAACTCATGAGCATGATTGAGGAATGATTTACATGTAATATCTATTGATTTACATATAAATCAAATACATAGAAAGCATGGCCTTATTAGTACCCTAGAATTACATAAAAATGACCATGAATTACATGAAAATCAATATGTGAAGAAACTCGTGAGCATGACTAAGGAATAATTTACATGTAATCTCTAGTGGATTACATGTAAATCAAACACATAAATATCATGCCCTTGTTAACGTCCCAAAATTACATGAAAATGATTATGGATTACATGTAAATCTCACTTGCTATAACGCAAGCCATGACCCTTACATCTTAAGCCAAAACATGGGCACCTTAAGCATTTCTCTTACACCCAAGTCAGAACCTTTACATCCAAACTAGAAACCTTACACTCTAAACTATAATATGTGTACTTTAAGCTAGAACCCTGCACCCTAAACCAAGACCTTTGCACTGTAAACCAAAATCCTTGCACCTAAGCCATAAGCTATGCACCTTAAGCCAGATCCCTTGCATCCAAGCCAGACTCCTTACACTCTAAGCTAGACCTCTTACACTCAAGTCATATCCCTTACACCTTAAACCAAAATTCTTGCACCCCAAGTCAAAATCCTTATACCCTCTAATTGTCAAGTTTACATGATTACATGTAATTAAAGGATGTTGATTTTTTTTTGGCACAGGCCAGAGCTCTGGTGGCCAGATTTTATACCTTTTTTTAAATTTATTTAACATAAAGGGACATTTTGATCATTAGTTTAAATTATTTAATGAATAAAATATTAACCTTGGTCCTCCAAGTAAATTTATTTTAATTAGGTCCTTTTGACCAATTTCCCCTAAAAAATTAATAGACTAAATTTTAGTTGAATAAAAAAAATTAAATCAGATATCGAGCTTTGTTGAATCATCATGGAAGGTTTGAGTTTTAAGTGTGTCCAAATTTAAAAAATGAGAACATTAATTTTTCCCCAAAAAAAAAGAATACTATTTGACAAAAATAATAATTCAATAATGAAATTATTCTAAAAATTCATCATTTATTAAATGAAGAATATTTTATTAATTTATATTTATTGATAAATCAAGATTTCAAATTGTATTTAGGAAAAATAGCAATTAAGGACTTGTATATGAAATTTGTATCAATTAAGGATGAGTTATTGTCAAAACCTGAATAGAAAATAAATATGACTAAGTTATTGTTAATTTAGAATTAGTTATTATTAAAACTAGAGTAAATACTTGTTAATAAAAACTAATTTAAATTAATAAATATTTATTTAAATTTTAACAATAATAAATCCTTGACTGATGTAGATTTCATATAAAAGTCCTTAATTATTATTTTTCTTTGTATTTAATTCACTTAATTAGCATTTACAATTATATAAAAAAAAAAGTCTTATTCTTGCGAAGGGGGGAGCACTAAATTGGGAGGAGAATTTCAACATCAATTTTTTTTAATTATTTTAATATTGATTTTTTATATCTGTTCCATAATTATCATTTTTTTCTTAAAACGTGATCCCAACACGTCCGCGGAAACCAAACTAATGATGAACGAAAGATGAACTGTCGGCAAGCACGGCACGCTGGGAGCAACACAGCTCATGTGGGGAGCAAGTGCAACTCAACCCCTGTCCCTCCGCTACGCTGCGTTTCGTTCGCTGCTTGCCGCACCGCTCCAGCCTCTTTCATTCACTTTTCATTCCATTAAACCAGCTGTCGCATCCGCCATGAAACTTGCAGTCGCCGGTCAAGGTCTATTCATCACTCCTATGCCAACATACCATCTCGTTAAAACGACCTCGTTTTCCGCTCTTCCCGGTTCCCACCTCCGCCTAGCCTATATAAGCGCTGCATGTGGCTTCCCCTCTCAGCAACGCTCCTCATTTCTTGATTCCGCGCCTTCCAGGCATGATCACATGTAGGGTCAGCGTTATTTGCTCCTTCCCATGCTAAACGGACACGTTAACCTAACATTATTAGTCACACGTTTCATTCTTTCGCGTCATATTATACCCCTAAATTTGTTTTTATATTCTTAAGATTTAATTCTCTTTGCTGGTGGAAAGAAATAGTTGAAGTCACACAGTTATTACATTGCATTTCTACCGCAAAAAGCGTGATCATTGTCGGATTTCACTTCCAGGAAATTATTTTTTTGTTTAAAGGAAACTTAATTGTTGGCAAAAAAAATTAAAAAAAAATTAATTAATTGATCTATATAATCTTAATTTAATTATAATTTCATTCTTAAATTTTAACTCAATATATATTAATCTTCATATATAATTTTAATTTGATTAAACTTAATTTTTAAATCTTAACTTATTAGAACTTAGTCTATATAATTTTAACATATTAAAATATTAATCTTTAAAATTTAATAAATAACTCTAGTTCTTATAATTGTAATCTTTAAAACTTAAAAATTATTATTTTAAATAATTAAAATTATATTAATTAAGTTGCATCCAATCTAAATTTTGTGATTTAGTTTTAACCATATTAAAATTATAATAATTAAATGCACTAGATTAAATTTTAATTTTTTAAATTAGGAAATCAAAATGGCACATCTGAATTTGTTTGTGTACTTTTAACCGGACAACTTCAATAATCAAGCGGCAACCGACACGACGGCGCTGCCACGTGTCCATTCATAACATATTGATCCTAAGTCGGTTTGCTCTGGATCCGGTAAAAGCACTGGACACGTGTCGGTCCCTGTCTCCCCACTCACATCTGAAAGCAACCTTAACCGCGCTGCTGAGCAGGTTCACATATCTATCACTTTACACGCTCACCCTTCTCTCTCTCCGGCTTCCTCTGAACCTCATACCCACCATTTTTTCCGGCCGTCACGTCGGATATACCTTCTCTCATGCTTCCTTTATCAGATCATTCCTCGTCAGAGCCCTTACCTCACCGAAGACCCAGAGCTCCTGAACTATTCGACGCCAAGAGCTATTTCAATTCACTTTCCACTTTATTCCAACCCCTTTTCTCTCCTCAAAGTCCTCGCGCATGGATTCTCGTTGTCGTCCTCTTCATTCAGATTGTACTCCTCTGCAACCTCCGTAGTTTCCCCACCTCAATATCTATTCGTTACCGCCGCCATGTCCACCATCGCTTCCCCGCTTATCTTGCCTCCAACAGCGTCATCGAGCATATACCGAAGGAGGAAAACGCCTTCGTCCAGAAGATACCCGGTGAAAACACCGTCGCCGTTGTCGAGATGTCGTCCAATGAGAATTCCGGCAACAATGACCAATGTGGATCCGGCAGAGTCTTCATCTATAACCTTCCGAGAACCTTCAACAAAGAAATCCTCGAGAATTGTGACAACCTGAACCCGTGGAGCTCCAGGTGTGACGCTCTTTCAAATGACGGATTCGGCCAGGTTGCCACCGGACTCGCCGAAATTGTGCCGGAGAATCTAACTCCGGCGTGGCACTGGACGGACCAGTTCGTTTCGGAGATTATCTTCCACAATCGCATGCTGAACCATAAGTGCAGAGTCACGGAGCCAGAATCCGCTACGGCGTTCTACATCCCCTTCTACGCTGGGCTCGCTGTGGGGAAGTACCTATGGTCGAAATCCACCGCCGCGGAACGCGATCGACACTGCAAGATGATGCTAAAGTGGGTCCAGGATCAGCCCTACTATCAAAGATCCAACGGCTGGAATCACTTCATCACCATGGGCCGCATAACATGGGATTTCCGTCGTTCCAAAGATGAAGACTGGGGTTCTAGCTGCATCTACATGGCGGGAATGAAAAACATCACGCGACTTCTCATTGAACGCAACCCGTGGGACTATTTCGACATCGGCATTCCCTACCCCACCGGATTCCATCCCCGATCCCAGTCAGACCTAAGTCGGTGGCAGAACTTCGTACGAGAACGGAAGCGAAACACTCTCTTCTGCTTCGCCGGAGCGCCACGCAAATCGTTTAAGAACGATTTCCGAGGTCTTTTGCTGAGTCAGTGCCGGGACTCGTCTGGGTCATGCCGAGTCGTAGACTGTGCGGGAAGTCGGTGCTCTAACGGCACGTCGGTGATTCTGGAAACGTTTCTGGACTCCGATTTCTGCTTGCAGCCAAGAGGCGATAGTTTCACGAGGAGGTCGATTTTCGACTGTATGCTAGCCGGTTCGATTCCGGTTTTCTTCTGGAGGCGAACCGCTTACCTTCAGTATGAGTGGTTCTTACCCAGTGAACCGAGTAGTTTTTCGGTTTTCGTAGACCGGAATGAGGTGAAGAATGGGACCTCCATTAAGGCTTTGCTAGAAAGGTACAGTAAAGAGGAGGTCAAGGCGATGAGGGATAAAGTGATTGAGTTCATACCCAAGTTTGTGTATGCTGAACCCCACGAGGGGATAGAGGGGATAAAGGATGCTTTTGATGTTGCCCTTGATGGGGTTCTGAGAAGGTTTAAGGGGCAAGAAGAATCAGGGTTTACTAAATGGTAAGCTGGTAATAACACGGAAGAAGATGAAAAACCCAAGCTGTTACGATAAATTGGGTGGTAGAATAGAGTTATTTTGACAGTTTAAATTAATACAATGGGCTCGGGGGTTGTACTATAGCATGTGATTCTTTCTATGGTGATGAAGGATGATATATTCGTCAAAAACCGTTGTTGTATATTGTATAATTTTTTTCAGAGAGAGAATAAAATTAATTTTTGAGCACAATAATTGCTTAGTTCTGCGCTACGGTAATAGCAGCTGCTGGCTGGTAGCTCCTGAGAAATCACCCCACATTCTGGTGATGCTTCCTGCAATAAAGATTGGTGGTCCTCACTGATCTTGGAATAGATTATGGCACTGGTCTGCTCTCTTGGTGTTTAGGGTTTGGCCAATGATGAGGATGGAGGAACAGACACAGCAACAGCATCACTGATATGAATGCATTGTAAAAGCTACATTGCGCCATAAATTTGTGGATCGGTTGAGTTTGGATAGGCATATCCAGGGCATGCTGGATCTGTTAGCGTTTTATGGAAAACCTTTCTGTATTTATCAATATGTGATGAACTTGAGCATCATCACCGGTTCACAATGGAAAGCTTGAACAGGTACATGTTAATGCAATTTTCTTGCATTTTAATTACATCAGATTGAGGCAGATGGATTTGTCTGATGTGAAAACATGGCTCTGAGCTTAGTTAATTCCGGTTGTAACAACTGCTCATTCATGAATTTTGATAAAATTTAGAGCATGTTACCCCTTTATTAGTGAGTGAGTGGCTGATATGTGGTATCTTTAAAGCACTAAAAGCTGGACTGATGATTGAATTGGTTAAGATACTAGTTCAAAGACTAACAATTAAAAATAGTAGACAAACGTTTATTAACAAATTTATTAAACTGATTAATATATTAATCTAAGGACCGACTAGTTCAGATGTTCATTATATGGGATGACCTAATTTTAATACTATTTTGGAGGGTCAATGGCAAGGGAGAACTAGGAACCGCAAGAGGTTAAATTTTTTTTTTTTATTGATTGATTTACTGAAAGAAAATGGCTTTGGAAGATGATCCCAGAAGGAATCCAAGCCAATTTCTGCAGTGGCCTTGTGGGGTTTAAAGGGGTGAAAAAGCAAAACATTTAAAAAATACGTCACCTTTGTCCTTTTTATGTAAACCAAGCTGAAGGATTAAAGAGCGGCGAGGTCATCCTCATTTGTTTCCAGCTTATTAAAGTAGGAAAATAAAATAAAAAACTGGAGAAGGGAAAGCAGTCGCACAAGCTTTCTAATTCTTTCAAGGACACGTATCAAAGAATTATTTTTTAAAAAAAGTGAGCGTTGGTGTCGGAATTATTCTTTGCTTTTTGCAAAATACGTATGCTGAATAAATAAAGCCATCCTATCCGTGCAGTACATGCCAAGTGTAATGTTTTTAAATAGGTAAGAGTGGTCACCAAAAGGACCCAATGATTCTAATATAGCTCTGCCTTGTATATCTTCAAGCATCAAGACAACATTGTTTTCATTATTGACACTATAAATCCAGGTGTCATCGAAAAAGAGAGCTCTAATCCATGAGCTAGGTTCATTGTGGTTTGATATTTGAAATTAAAATAAAGTTCCTTGAAAAGTTTCATTTTAGAAGCAACTCAAAGTAGAAAAAATTCTCATCGTATTACCAAAAAAAAAAAGTTAAGTCTTGTGAATGGTTGATTCCGTGGCTGGCAGCTGCAATATATATATATATATATATATATATATCAAGCTAAAGTTAACATGAGTTTTCATCATTAAAACAAATCGCTGAAAGTTTGAATGTCAATTTTTGCACTACTTACAGTTGCACAAGCGCACGCATAAATTTTTTTTAACAAATTCATCCTAATTGAAAGAAACAAGCTATTTTTTTTTTAATAAATAAACAGAAGTTTACCAAACAATTGTTTAAATACGCCCAGTTCCGACAAGTGAAGCAGCGGCCTCACGTTCCTGGGGTTTAGGGATTAGGAGTATTTTGTGGATTGTAGTTAATAGAATAGAAGTAAAATATATAAAATATAAATGAAGGGCTCATATTCCACAAGAATATTTCTATAAGCGTTTTTAAGTTTTTAGGCATGCTCGTTCCAAAATCCAAATGGTAGCAAAATATATATATAATTAATAATATTAACAATAATAATTTATAAGACTGGTGATTACTGTACTTTAAAATAACAAATATTATTACTGACATATAAAATCATTTACTAAAGATAAGAAAAGACTTTCTTTGCGTCAATAAATGAAGAAGAAACAATATACTGCCTCTGGACTATAACCATAAGAAGATGCCCGTTGTTAGTCTCTCTCTCTCTCTCTCTCCCCCCCTTTTTTTTATTGGTAAAACCGTTGTTAGTCTCTTGAGCAATGTGTCCCTTAAAAAAAAAAATTGGGCCATAAACCCAACAAGGCCGATTTCTCCAAAAACCATCAGACGAAACAGAAGAGGGGCCATGATAAGTCTTGCCCCAAACAATAGCATGATAAATGACTCCAAAAAAAAGAACAAAAACTAAATCAAGGATCCATGTGTGTTCATGAAGTATATAATTGAAAGAGATACTATTCACAACTCCATGAGCAATATTATTACCAAAAAAAAAAAAACTCTGTGAGCAATGTGGCTTAGCTACTTACATATAATATAGTGATGAATAGTTCAACTGATATGGACATTCACTTTTCAAACTATATCAATGAAACTTAAAGAACGTGGGGTACATAATTTGTAAATAATATGGCAGGTTATTTTTTTGGGAAGTTAGATTTTTTTTTTATTTTCTTATGTATAAATAAAAAAATAAAGGTGACAAATGAATGCACATTGAGATTTGACAAGAACCATGCTTCCCAATCCAATGTGCAGGGCGACAGTCCAGGTGTCGTTTTCTTATGCTATTTTCACATACACCATGGACACATGTGTCATTCCTCCGTTTTATTTATTTGTTTATTTTAATTTCTTAATTTTATCTTAAATTTCTTTCTTTCTAATCTAATTGCACAGTGTATTTTGCAGAATTTTAAAAATGGAGTTGATCATATATAAATTTTCATAATTATATTAATTTCGATTCCTGAAATTTATCTTCAATTAAATTAAATTAAATTAAATTTTATTGAATTTCTCTTTTATTTGACTAGGCAGAGCTATTTATTATTATTTTCAACGCTTTTGAATTTTAGTTTTATTTCTGTGGAGGCCCCTGCATATGATTTTGTCTTGTTTCGCCTGAAGCTCATAAATTGCTTGCTCGTGGGTCTCGATCGACGAACGAACCGATTTCAGGCTTAGGTCGTAATACACAATCTATAAAGAAACTAACTCCACAAAAGCCATATCTATCGATCTTAGATTCTTCAGGTTTCGCTTCGGAGGAGATGATGAAGACGGAGGTATTTCTGCTACTCTTGCTTGCCTTTGGAACGACACTCTCAGTCGCAGAGTTCCAATCTTCTACTCCACAACTTCACGCGGCCGAATTCTTCAATGTTAGCTATATCCAGGTATGCCTCACAAAGCCTCTTATCGTGGTTAATTTCTCGCTCGTTGATTCCTTACTCTTGTTTTATTGCACGTGAACTATGCTGTGGCCTGTGAGTTTCTTTCTTAATTAATTTCGTTTGTCGTAATTCAGATGAAAAACGTTGGCAGCTGTCCTTACACGGTGATTATATCTACGAGTTGTTCGTCTCCTGTATATACAAGGGATCAGATCAGTATTTCTTTTGGAGATGCTTATGGCAATCAGGTCTGCTCTTTCCTAAATAAGATTCATCCATTCACTTATTGCATTTGCTTGAACATTAGGTCTACTTTTAATTGGGATTTAGTTGCCCTGACTCCTGAGCCTGTGATTTGAAACCTTTTGGTTCTTTAATTGGTTCAAGATCGAATTATCAAATTGGAGAACAAGTCAAACTCAGAAACTGCAGTTAGAATCTTATTTAATTTTCCGTTTGAGTTCATCTTAGTCACGAGCTGATTCTTTCCTTTCATTTTTTTTTTTCCTTGGGGTCATTTTTTTTTTGGTGAATCAATTCATTTTATTCGTTGTCCTCTTTTTATAGCAGAAAGAACTATAACATCATTTGTGGGTATTTTGATTGTTTCGACTTGAGTTGTTCTAGAGTCAACTACCGATTGGTTTTGGAAGAGGCATGATTCATCACTTTAGTCTTTAGAAGTCAGAGATCATATCGATGGTTCAAATTAATTTTGAAATTCAATGATAGTAATTATCTTCCAATCAGTTAGGAGTTGGAACATGCATGTAGGGGCCCCAGTGGCCCATGGTAGTTTCTTTTTCTCGTAGTGCTGTCCGCAAATTTATTCTATATTGGTATGTTTATGGGAAGGCTAATGGTGTAACATAGACACTGGTTGACAGCTATGGAATAAAAGATCAAGTTTGAGTCTCTAATTTATCATTAAGAGCATAACAATGAATTCTTGCAGCGATGTGGGGGGAAACACTAGTGAATTGATAGCTTTAGAATCTATGTTGACAAGTAGCATATAAAAGGCCCGAATAGTAAAATCGAACAGACAGCACGCCTCATTTTGGACATGGTTTTAACTAATTGAGGAGGCTTATTTTTGCTTCTTTTTCACCTATAATTGCTCAGATATATGTACCAAGACTGGATGATCCATCTTCAAAAGCATTTGAGCGGTGTTCTTCAGATACATTTCAGATAAACGGTCCATGCGCATATCAGATCTGCTACGTGTACCTATGCAGAACTGGACCCGATGGCTGGAAGCCACGAAGTGTGCAAATTTACGGTCATAACACAAGGGCTGTTACATTTAACTACAACACATTCATTCCACCAGATACGTGGTACGGGTTTAATTTGTGCAATGCTGCTTCATCTTCACGCCGACTATCTAGCGAGAAATGGTTTTTATGTGTTGTTCTAGGGTTTGTTTTGAGTTTTTGGATGTAGATATTTGATATATGTTCTTTAAATTCCTGTTCTCTGTAACTGGGAAGCTTAATATATGCTACAAAAGAAAACGGAACAAGATATGTATGAAAACCCATGGTCTGATTCAGTGTAGCATTGGCTTGCTTGTTTTGTCTGATTTATGTGTTTCCATACGCAATGTTAAATAATAAATAGGTGCTTGCTGCCAGACAATTTAGACATCACTAGTGAGAGTGAAATGAAAAGAAAGCATTCGAATGGAACTTTCAGAGTGAGCAAGAATTACTTTTTCTTTTCTGGTTGCTCTGGAGCAGAAGAATAAAACATTTTAGCGTTAAAGGGTATCATTTCAGAATGAGCAGAAGAATAATACTGAAGCCTGGGATTCTCTCTCTCTGAAGGCAAGCATATGCCTGGGAAGAACAAGCCTGGGGTTCATTTTTGTTCTGCTTACATTGAGAGAATATGGAGCCTGGGATTTAACTTTTTTGAATATGGAGCCAGGAACTTTTTGTATTGAGAGAATATAATCCACTGTTTTATATTTTTTTGGTTTATGTTGCTTCTCATGTCAAGCTAGGCTCCCACCCCCTGGTTTGAATTAGAGATATCAATTAGGATCAACCCTTAAAGAGCCAGGGTTTAAACGGACTGACTCTAATAAGTACGATTATGTCTTAAGATTTTCTTTTACAACACCTGGCCTTGGCTTTCAAGGCCCTAGCCCTTTTTTTAATTAAAAATTCTAAGAAAATATACATTTATAATTTTAGAAAAAGTTATTACATATAATATTAAATTTCAGAAAATAAATTTAAATCAATTCATACTACAATAAATATAGAAAACTTAAACATCTAAGTCTAATATCAAATAGTAACATTAAAACTAACACAAGTGAAAATTAGACTTTGTTAATATCATTAGCTTAATTTTAATGATTGAATGAGGGAAGGATGAATAAGTTTAAGATGTTCATTTTTTTTTCATTATATATTTAATATTCTATATTTTAAAATTATAATTTTTTTAAAAAAATAAAAGGGCTTAAAAGGATCAGTGATGGCCCTTTTAAGTTCGAATTACTATTTTTGGTCCAAAATAGTAACCCATCTTAGTTATTCTTGAGTTTAAAAAAGACTGGTTCGACATGTTCAATCCTAATTGATAGTTCTAGTTTGAATATAAGATTTAAAAAGAAGAAAAATTAGTTGTTTTTTGTTTTTTAAAACTATTTTGTTGTTTAGTTATGTTAATTTAAAAATAATTTTAAAATTAAAAATTTGATTAATGGTGATGGTGGCAGGGAATTAATGATGATGATTTATAATAAAATTTAGTCAAGTTAATTATATTTTTCAATAACGATATGTAATGTGTTTTAAAAATAAGAAAGATAAAATGAAAATTTTAAAATGTTTCCCTTTTTTATTTAAAAATAAAATATAAGAACAATTTTAAAAATAATTAAATTTAAAACACTTATCAAACAGTTTTTCTTATTTCTTTGTTTTCAAAATAAAAATAGTTTTTAAACATTAAAACTAAAATATGTCCTACATTTGATCTATATAATTTTGATTCAATTGTAAATTAATCTTAAATCATAACGACAACTCCTTAATATCTTATAGTTTAAATTAACTCAATTCATAAACTCTAAACGTTGAAATCATGCAATTGGTTTATATAATTTTAACTATTTAATATATTAGTTCTTATATTTAAAAAAATAATTTTAATTTTCATAATTTTATTTTGTTAAAATATAAGAAGTAACATTTTGAATGGTTAAAACTATAGTAGCTGCATTATATCGAATCAAAAATTAAGGTATAACTTATATGATTATATGATACAACACTACAAAAAAAGTTTCTATGTATAAAAATATCATAATCTATCTAAAATAAACTAATTTATTTTTTAAAAATAATTTTTAAAAATAATTTATTTTTAAACTAAAATTGAGAAATATTTTAGGAAAAATTAATCATTTAGTCTTTATAGTTTTGATCTAGTTATAACTTAATTTTTGATCCTTGACTCTTTATAACTCAGTCTTTGAAGTTTTGACTCGGTTGTAAATCAGTTCCTGAATTTTACCTTTTGTAATTTAGTCCCTAAGGTTTTAACTTTTTAAATATTAATCTCTATATTTTAAAAAAAAAATTATAAAAATTAATAATATTTTAAAATTTATTACTAATATCTTAAATCACTAAACCCTTTTAATATTTATAAATATTAAAAGTTTAAAATATTTTTAATTTCTATAATTTTAAAATATAGGGACCAATATATAAGATGTTGAAATTTCAGAGACTAAATTATAAGAGATAAAGTTTAGGCATTGATTTACAATCAAGTTAAAACTTTAAGGACTGAATTATAACGAATCAAAATTTAAAGATTGAGTTACAATTAGGCCAAAACTATAAAGACTAAATAATTAATTTTCTCAATGTTTTAACTATTATTATTATTACATTATCATATGATTTACATAATTAAATGATACAACAAGATAAATAATCATCATATAAAAATAAAACTAAAAACAAAATGACATGCACTAAAAGTTGGGATAGTAAAACTGAAAAAATTATATAATACTTTAATTAATTTTTTTCATCTTGTATTCAAATTACCAATCTACCTTCATGGAAGATGTCATCGAAAATTGAATCAATCAACATGGTGAGCAAAGCAATATTGATAACAAATGCTTCAAATCATAGTTACTAGTCTTTATCATAAATTATTGGCAGGGGTTGAAGATTATACTGAAATTTCAATGAAGAAAGAAAGAAAATAAAGATGTGGTAATAAATAGATTGAATGGACATTCTCCTGCAACATTTGAATACGTAGTGTGTGTTTGGATTAACTTTCTAATTAAGATTCGAGTGGTCCAAATCTCAATAACATAGTTGAAAGCTCTTTATTTGGATTAAACTCTTATTTGGATAAAAAAAAAAAAACTAAATGAGTGTTAATGGCTCAATGACCATTTTCATAGAAGTTGGGAGGAGTAGCTTTGTAATGAAATGTGAAGGTACAGCATTGGGATATCGCAGATTCTTTTCTCTCTCCTCATATCTTCACTTTCAGGTCGCTACTCTCTCTTTGCTCAGCCTCCTATCTTCACAAACTCTGTCTTCATCTGATTCATCTCACCACCGTTGCTGATCGACCATTGTGCTCTTGTCGTCGACGAAGTTGAGAGTGATGTGATTGCTTGTGTATGTTTTGTTGAGATTGCTTTGTCCCTTAGTTTTCACTCACTGGTAGTCAACCTTGCTAGATCTACACATCCTTGCTTTTTATGGCCCTCGTTTGGTGCTTACCATCGTTGTACTTATTGGATTAGTTCTTTGTTGCTATCATTGAATTCATAGAAGGCAAGAAACTCCAATCCTTTGAAACAAATAGAAAGCTTAGCGAGGGACAAAGAAGAAAACGAGATACTAAATTTTTTATTTCCTTTGAGATTTTCTGATTTTGAAGGGGACTTTTACTTGTTATTCGTGGCTGAATTTTTTGGCCTTGAATGGTATCTAATTTTTTTTTTCCCTTTTGGTTCTCTCTCTTTTTATTTGTTTATTATTTTTAATTTAGTTTAAACTTTTCCTTTCTTTTTAATTTTGAATGAAGCTTAGTGCTTGATCATCTTTGGATATACGTTAATTTTCATTACCTTTTGTTTTGTCCATTGGGTGTTAATTAGTAATTACTGGATTAATTTTTCCAGTTATGTGCGATGGACTAATTATATATTCATCCCTTTTTGTTCTACTATTGGAAGAAATTCACAAGTAATGGAAATCGATTAAAAAAAAATTAATGAAGATTTTTTCATTTATCAATTTATTTTATATTTTAAATTCTATTTTTTTTAAAATTGTAATATTAAGTTTAATATTTTTTCCAACAATATTAAATTAATCACCAAATATATATACAAAAAATTGATGCTTATTTTTATTATCATACATTTTAATTGGCTTTTAAATAAAATCAATCAAATAAATTTTAGTTTATTCAATTAATTTTTAAAAAATATTATTTAAATATAAATTATGTTACAGTCGCAAACTTTTTTTTTAATTTAAATTTGCTAAGCTCAATTAAATTCTAACTTTAATTGTGAGTTTTCTAATCTAAACACACACATAATATAGTGGAGTTAGATGATAATTCAACAATTTGTTCTGAGATTTAATTAAGGAGATTAAAGCTCTTTTATTCAGAAGTTGGAATGCGCCTTTAAATTTCATGTTTAGAGATGCTAACCGCCTTGCACGTAATTTAGCTAGAGCTTGTCATTCTTTTAAACTTGATCTCTGTGTCTTTCATCAAAAACCACCATTCCTCTAATGAAATAAACAAATTTGAGTATTTGTCCCTCCAACAGTTCATAATAAGAATACGCCCCCGGCTGGCGCACCCATAAAGCCGGGAACCTCAGGTTTTGTTAGGCTTCGGTTTCTCCTGCTCCCTCTTCCGCAGTCCACTGTAGAGCTTAGAGGCAGGAAAATTCTCTACACACCCTCCCCTTTCTCTTTTCTGGTGCCTTTTACACATGACATAAACTGGTTTACTCATTTCTTTGTGATTTAACCCGCGGTAACATGCCTTCTATGGCTCCCTCTAAGAGTCCTAAAGAGAAGGAGAAGAAGATGAAGAACACGATTTTAACTGAGGAAGCATCCATTGGTATGGAGAGCACAAAAAGTTCTAAGCTTACAAGAAATACCAAGGTGTCTGATTCTGACCAAGACGGGTTTTCGGACAAGAAAGCGAAGAAGAAGGAGACCAAAAAGCGTAAATCTTCGGATATTGATGGGGTTGGAGAGAAGAGCGAGAGTAGCTCGGAGTTAGTTGAGCCCGAAAGTTCGAGGGCGAAGAGTCAGGAGAAGAGAAAGAAGAATAAAAAGCCGAAATTCGAGGAACCTGACATGGGAGAGGAAGAGGTTGAGAAGAAGGATCCCAATGCAATTTCGAACTTTCGGATATCGGAGCCCTTGAGGGCCAAGTTGAAGGAGAAAGGGATTGAATCTCTGTTTCCCATTCAGGCAATGACTTTCGATACCATCCTCGATGGATGTGATTTGGTCGGTCGGGCTCGCACTGGTCAGGTGTGTTCTCTTAT